TGGATCACTTCTGGGGCGCGGATGGAACTTGCACTTAAGCTGCTGTGGCTCACTTGTAGTGCTGTGTCCTAATCCTCTGCATGACCAGGGAGGGCCGAAATGATAAAGAATTTTAAGAGGCAGAGTATACAGACATTAACAGAGGAAAAAGCAACACACAGATGGTTACAACAGGGGCCAGGGAAACATGGCTATTGAGAGGAGAAAGACTAATACCATAGGGAAATGAAAATCTTATAAAAATCTTTAAATAAATCTGAAATAGCTCTTTTAATAAAATTCTAAATAAGAAGTATCATACTATTATATAGCTATAATAGTATGTAGTGATTTTTTAATGGCACATAAAATAATGGCACATTTCTTAGTCTATTAGCAACGTAGATTTGATGATTATGATATGTGTTTGGAGTGAAGAGCTTGACAGGAAGTCCACACTGGCTCCTGCTGCTAGCTTTGGTACTATAACAATGTCTGCAATAAACACAGTAAGTAGTGGCATAATAGAGAAGGAACCTGGAAAAACAGTAAATACCCACATTTGTGTTTATCATTACATGTGTAGGACACAAATTCAAAACAATGAAAAAGCAGTGTATGAAACTTTAATAGTATATTAAAATACAGATGACAAAATACCATTTAACTTTTTATGCAAATACTTCAATATTTCTATCATTAAATAAAGCATACTAAATACTAAGTAATTCTACCAGTCTTTGACTAAATTCTCTAAAGAACAAAACACTGGTGAAAAGTCAAAATTGTCTATTTAGAACCTTATTATTTATCAAAGACACAAAATGACCATGGTTAATACCAATTTAAGCATTTACAAAACACCACTGACGCCTAATATTGATATACTAAATGAAAATTCAGAGAAACTGATACTTACAGCACTAAATTATAAAATCCCTTTATTTTAAACAGTGTTAAAGTTTTAACACTGGAACAAAAATTAAATGTACCAAAAGGTGACACGAAACTATTTCTGGTAGTAAACTTTGTCTTATTGGTATAACTATTTTTGATTTTGTCCCTTATTTGAAACTATTAAAAGGAACATGTATTTTTTAACTCATATATACTTTGTACATTTATCATTCTATAAACAAATGACTTAGTGATAGCTTAAGGTCATAAACCAAGTCATTACCTTTTATGTCAAAGGCCTATTGTTTACCAATTTAGAAACTTTATATACACACACATATATAAATATATATTATTGAGTTGATATAAGACTATAGACATAGGATATGTTAGCAGAAATTAATTTTTTCCTTTCAGCAAGTTAATATTTTTTAATTGGAATAGAACGAGGGTAGGAGGGGCATTGAAAGCATGAGGTTCAAACAATTTACATTTTATCAAAGTAAAAAAGATTTTTAAATACAATGATGGCAGATAATCTTATACTACAAATCCTCATACTAATTAAAAGATAGTATCACAAAAAAAAATACTATAATGCTTTGAGCAACAATTATGATACATTAATGACCACAAGGCTTCAAACAAAAATGCAGTGATCAAAATATTTAACTATCCTTTTATTAATATAAAACATACTCAATCTTCACTGTCTGAGAAAACCAGTTTTAGCTTCTTCATAGTCCTCCATCTGTCTTTCAACATGACACTTGTTCGGTTGTTGAATTTATAATGCAGTAGTATTTTAGACCAATTTCCCTCTCCATATTTCTTCACACCAGATCTTAGATTCGTGTCTTCTTCCCAAATCCATGCCTTTGGATTAAAAAGTAGAACAATTATTCAAAAAATTTCTTGAGAACATATTTTCATAAATGCAATTTTTAAAAACCAAATATCACTGTTCTTCAAGGATAGAAAAACTTCTATAAATATTTTGTCATGAGATTTTTAAAAGCTCTTATTAGTACTGTAGCTCAGCAATAAAAGATCACATAGCTACCAAGTGACAGGGCTAACCAAACACTAAGTCTATCCCGTCTCTTAAGATAGTTTTCTACAATGGTTAACAGACTTGTATTGATTAATCTCACATATCTCTAAATAGAACTTATGAATATTTAATAAACTCAGTGAAAACCCTGTTCTGCCTAGTTTGGGTATAGTATGTAAACACATATAATTCAAGGGATTTTTGAAAACAGATTCTCTTCTCTAAAATAGACTTTTGAAAATGAAAACGTACCATTTTATCTTTGGAGAAAATGGAAATTATTAAAGATCAAATTTGATATCATGAACAGAAAAAGTTATTATGTGTACTATCAGGTGACCAACTATTTCTCCTGCTGACATAGCAAAAGAGCAGTATGATCGGAGTGATTATTATTCCGTCTGTAGTATAAGTAATTTCGTAGGTGGACTTTCACATTTTCTTTAAAAATGTATAGGTCACAGGATGGTAGGATATCACGTATGAGGTAGCTCTAGAGCAGTCAAATACAGAGAAACAAAGCAGATTGGCAGGAGCAAGGGGGAGGAGGAAATGTGGAGCTGTTCAATGGATAGTTTCAGTTTTATAAGATGGAAAAAGTTTTGGAGGTTGGTTGCACAAAATGTGAATATACTTATTAATGCCACCCAATTGCACAATTAAAAATGACTATTTTATTTAAAGAATGAAATTTTAAATGAACAAAGGACTTGAACAGACATTTCTCCAAAATAAATGGCCAGTAAGCACATGAAAAGATGCTCAGTATCATCAATCTTTAGGAAAATGTGAATCAAAACCACAAGGAGATCCCTTATACCCATTTGGACTGCTACTATAAAAATCCAAAGTATGAAATTGGTGCTGCCCAAGGGAAAACTGTTATTTTTCAAAAATTAAAAGCTGAACTATCATGTAATCCAGCAATTTTACTTGAGGGTATAGAGTCTAAAGAATTGTAAAAGGGACTTTAAGAGATATTTGTTTACCCCACTGATAGCACTGTATTACAACAGTCAAAAGGTGGAAGCAACCCAACTGTCCACTGAATGAACAAACAAAATGTGGTATATAAAAAAATGATGAGATTTACTTAGCCTTAATAATGAAGGAAATTCTGATATGAGTACTATGCAGATGAGTCTTGAGAACATTATGCTAGGTGAAAAAAGTCAAAGACAAAAAAACAAATATTGTTATGATTTTACTTAAGTACCTAAACAATCAAATTCAAGGACAAAGTAGAATGGCTTGGAGTACAGAAAGGAAAATGAAAATGATTATTTAATGGGTGCAGAGCTGTATAAAGTGTGAAGAATTCTATGGAAGGACTTTACATTAATTCTAAATACATATTTATCAACCCCCAACTGAAAATCTGGGTTAAGTATTTTCATGTAACTTAGGAAAAAAAAACAGATGGGTCAATTAATCAAAGATGGCAAAACTGACAATAACCGAAAAATTGCTTTATACCCAAGGTTCTTTTTTTTTAAGATTTATTTATTTGTGCATACAGAACTGGGGTGCAGGCCAGAGGTGCAGGGGCGGTGAGAGGCTTCACCAGAGACAGAGTAGGGAACAGAACAGGAAGACCGACGAAGTACACTGCTGAGGGGAGCTGCGGGCGGCTTCAGGAGAGGTCTGCCACGCCATGTGGGTCACCTCTGGGGCAGGGGGCAGGCGGGGATCGAACTCATGCGGAAGCGGCTTAAGCTTCTTAGTGCACTGCTTTAACCCGCTGCGACACCAGGGAGGGCCCTACACCCAAGGTTCTTAAGATCGAACAGGGTTTATGCAAAACAATGAAAGTCATTAAAGTTATGACTATTTTTTTATTTATATATCTATTTACGTTACTGTTCATTTTACAATGTTTACATTTTGTAAAATTATGACTTTAATGTCCACTGTTTACTAAATATAATAAATAAAATACCTGCTTTTTTCTAGAACGTTTTCCAGGAGTTACTGGCTGACTCTGTAAAACACATATTTCCTTGCTTCCAGTGGCTTGTCTATGGCTTTCTTTCTTCTTTTTTCCACCTTAAAGTAGAAATACTGTCATCAAAAAAACATCATTTCACATTAAAAGAAAAAGAATTAAATGGTCACCAAAAAAATTTTTACTTTTTAGCTATTTTAAGAAAATGAATTGCTTTATTTTCCTCCCTTTGAAAACAGAAGCAGCATGGCACAGGACAAAGACAAGTCTCTGAAAATCAGAGAGAGTGTGCTTTGAATCTTGATTATTGTACGTTTTTTAAAATATGCCATCTTACCTCCCAGAACCTGTCTTTTCATCACCTGTTACACAAAGAATATTTAATTGTTGAAATTCTCCTAAAATAATGTCTAAGGAGTATCTGACAGTGGAAATTGCAGTGTGGGTGCTTCGGGATGCACCCTTCCAAATAGAAACTCCTCGTAGCTTGAGTCACTTAGCAGTTATAGTAGCTATAAACCCTTTTGTAAAATAACCCAATCAAACAAGGAATAAAATCAAAGGAAGTGGGCCATTCCTGTGGCACAAGGGGTTAAAGCACAGCACTATGAAGCTCTCTGAAGCCACTGAAGCAAAAGTTCTATCCCCAGCCAGGGGTGCAGCAGACCTCTACTGTCCTGCCCACTGCCCCCTCCACAGTATGTTTCAGTCAATTTGCCTGTTCTGCTCTCCACTCTGTCTCTGGTGAATCCTCTCGTCTCCTGCACCTCTGGCCTGTACTCCAGTTCTTGTATGCATAAATAAATAAATCTTTAAAAAAGAAAAAATTAAAAGTGCTAGAAAAGGGGAAACTCTGGTCAACAATTAGCGAATAACAACATGTAAATTTAAATAGATTTAACTGCCATGGGAATTATGGCTAGAAAATAGAATGCTATAAAAGCTTGAAAACATGAAACATAACAAAAATTGGGAATTGGCGGGGGAGACACTGCTAATGTGATTTCTTACAGCTAACATAAACAATTTTGATTTTAAATTGACTGATGAAACAGATTTTAAAATAAATTTACATTGCTAGAAGCAATAGCTTCTAACTGCAAAGAGAGGATATGTTCAGCAACCTGGAAATTTTCTGGGATATATATATATATAACATCTAACAAAAAAGTCAAGAAATGTGGTAAAATTCACAAAATTCTAGGTTCAGTCATGGTCAAGCCACTCTGTAATAAGGTATATTTTTCACTAGGGTTTGACTACTGACCAACTATTTAGACTGTAAAAAATGTATACTTCTATTTCTTAAATTATTTATTAGGAAATTAAAGTCCAAGAGAAGCCTCAAATTACTTTATTTTAGTATTATCATTACTACTTATTTTGCAGCAATATAATTATTACAAATAACAAGAATCAACTATATTCATGCTTTAAGTAAGTAATTATTTCAGTTTGTTGAATAAAGTTAAGGTAGAAAAGCAGCAAAACACTATCAAAAGTACTCTAAAGCTAGACAGCAGAAATAGTCTTAATGAACATTATGTTTAATTAACTCTATAAAGTTAACTTTATAAAGTAACATTATTTTATCTCTGTGTTAGGTTTCTGAAGTGTTTAAGTGTGAGTGTGTGTGTGTGTGTGATGGTGAATGGCTGGAGCACTTCTGAGGACACATTGATAGTACTCACTTTGAACAGTCTGCTTTTCACCCTCCTTATTAAAATTGTTTTGTTGGTTTCCACTTTTCAACTGAGATAAGAAGAGGTTCTTGCTCGTCTTGTGAGACCTAAATAAAATATGAAAGCTAAGATTGGTTTCACAAAGACCAGAAAAGGTATGGAAAAGGATAAATGATTTTTCCTAGTTTCTGTTTGAGGACCTTCACTTTGGTCTGTTTCTTTTTGCTTCCTTTGCTAATGCCCTGTCTTTAACCTTTGTCCTCTTAAAGACTTTTGTCTGACTTCCTTCTCCTCCTCTACTTATTTTCCTCACCATACCTACTCAGAAATCAATAATCTCTGGTTTCCCAATCAAATATATGAAAACAAAAATTCTCAAACTATGAAGTACTAAGTTTCATGCTCTCTTGTGGATGATAAATTTCCCCAAAGACAATTTGAGGGATTTTCTCAAATTCCTTTTTGATGGCAGATATCACTTATTATCCTTATAGTTCCCAAAAAGAACTTGTTTGGAAATACAGAACATGGCACAATTTTTTTTTTAACAATCCCGCAAAGATGGTTGTTATTAACATTTTATAAAGGAACAATATAAAACAATTCACATAAGCTTAGGCAGCTATTTTGTCATCAATCTACAATTGCTTTCATTCCTGTAAATGTTCTATTCAATCTATTAATCTTTTTCCTCCTTCCTAAAACTTTCTAATGTGTTCTTTGAGCTGCTATTTTCTCAAGCTACTGAACAGTAGCTTTTGTGGCCTTGAGAAGAAACTGGCTTAATCTTCCATGAACCATAAGGGTCACAGAAGTGGGTCTCCCTACGTTTCGTATCTTGAATGTCATCTTCTGAATACTTTATAGCTGAATAGCTTTCACAAAAAACTTGGCCTTTGAGGATTCATGCTGTCGAGTTGTTATCACAGTGCACCATTTTTCAAAATCATTCACTATCCTGCCAAACACTTTCATCATTTACAAATCTTTCTCTTAACCCCAAGTACTGCTACTATTGCAACTTATTTTATTATTTCATTTCCAGTGACCTCCTCCATACATCAGACTATGTGACCTTCCCATAGTGACACTTAGTGCTCTATTTCTGAAATCGTTCATGTAAACCATCCACTCTCTGAAAATCTTGTATTATCTGTCATGGCATTTATAGCTACTAGTCTTACAAATAATTTCCTAAAACTGAAACTTGAGACATTTATCCATAAAGCCAGCTGTCTCAGCAACATATTATCGTTTCTATGACAGAATGAGTTTAATAAACATCTACTTTAAGTTCAAGTACTCTCATATGTGCATTTCAATAGTGGTCTTATAGATACAAAGTGAAAAACAATTTAGTATCACAGAAGCAGGCCACTATTATTTAGAATTTCAAGACCATGAGGGTAGTGAATACCTATTGAGGTTAAGAAGGATGCTGTGAGATACTCTTAAAATCATACTATTTACATGGCAGCGAACTGTACTATTTCTAGGCATGCATGAATTGATTTGATCAAAGTTTTCAAAGAAACTAAGAAACTTAAGGAAAATGTCAATTTACTGCACCTTGATAAGGATACTGTATCCTCAGAAGATTCAGTTACCGCAGACTGTTTGTTACTAACACTTTAAAAGGAAAAAAAAAAACAAAAAACAAAAAATTTTAAGAATGTAAACAAAGGAAATTTTTCATAGGATAACAAAATACTTTTCAAATTGTCAAATCATATTTCAATGTATAAAAAATATCTGGATAAGAAACCCTGATAACATTAGGATATATATATATGTATAGTTCATGTAAAACATGACTAATTTTGCCCAGATGAACTTACCAAAAATATTAAATCAAGTCTACCCAAACATGAGTTAAGAAGAATTGATGAAGTAATTGACCATTTATGTTACTCTTTCAAAATTTCTTCAATGGACTTTTTTCCATAAGTTCAAGTTTAATTTCTCTTCCAAACAGAATTTTTTAACAAATTCTTCCCTTTGCTATAGTTAAGACTGGCATCCACAAACATAAAAAGACCCACCTGTCAATATCTTAATCACCCTTTAAGGCCTTACTTAATGCAAATACCTCTGTGAAGCTGTAGATCTCAATTTCTTTAGCATTTAAATCTAGCTATAAACTTAAAAACAAAAAATTATTTAATGCTTGCTGTTCATTTCAAATATGCAATTCTTACTGTCTCAAATAGATTGTAAGATATATCACAGCAAAATACATCATTTATTACTGCAACATGATGGTTTCATCTTTCCTAGCAGTTGTCTGATCCTCCTTGCATCACCCTTCTTGATTCTATGCTAGCTACACCTGTGTCCTGTGGGTACTTGTCCTGATATTGCTAACTGTCATACATTATTTACTCTGATTTCTATTTGTTTCCAGGATGGTTTTGATATTTACTTGAATCTTAATCTCCACGTTATTTCTACTTTTGCTCCCTGTGTCTAACATACAAATTATAATGTATGCCTGACAATAAACTAGAACACCAATGATACTAAACTGATGGATACTTCCATTCCAAAATAAGTCTTTTGACAAACAGAATGACGTGGTGCTGTGGGAGCTAAGAAGTGACAATTCTTATTAAAAAGTTTGGCAAGACTTCATATAGGTGATCTGAACTAGTCCTTGAATGGCAAGTAAGGTCTTACCTTGGAAAGAACACAAAGAATGACATTCAAAATTGAAGGAAGTTAGCCAAGGTAGAGATATGAAAGAACATGTAATATTTAAAAACCAGGGAGAAATTCTGTGCCCTAGAAAATATCACACTTATGGGCAGGGAAGAATTGTTGCTCACAGATGGCACTATATATGAAAACAACAAAAGGGGCTACGTGAAGTTCTGTAAGTCATGCCAACAAATTCTGAACTCACCACTCTTCTAGTAGGAAAAAGAAATCCAATAGAGGTTATCAAGCTTGGAAATTACTGAAATTTATTTTTATGGAAAGGCAATTCTGAGAATCATGTTTGAGATACACGTATGTGATTAAAAAGTTAAGTAATAACATGGTATATATAAAAGAAAATGGATTAGAGAGGCCTTTTGAGGTGGGATTCCTAATACTTGGAGAAAACTGCATAAAAGAATAAGATACAGAGGCAGAAGTGAACAGCAAGAATTCTGTTTTACACACAATGATTAAATTGTCTGTTTCTAGGAGGTCATGTGAAATAAGTGTGTGGTGCAATATAAGAATGCCTAACAAAGTGTTCAGTATCTCCAAGAATCATAGTATGCTGAACCACAAGAATGTATAGGATCTTAATATTAATAAACTCTAAAGAAAATAATTGAGCCAAAAGAAGTGACATCTCTAATTCCCCAAAGTGGTCACAGAAAAAAAAGTCAGTGAAAAGATTTAGTCTTGGGGAGGGCATGACAATGCTCTGAGAAGCAGGCAGAAGAGTCAACTGGCGCCAGGAGAGATCAGACCTGAAGTTTGATCAATCACCATTTCATCTAACTTGGAACTAGTTCCACCCTGGCTAAGTAAGTAGTTAAGAGAGAGGACCTATAGAACTCAGATTATAGCCACAGTTATATATTATATGCATCGCTGAATACAATTACCCAAGGACCATAGAGGTTTCACTGTCTGACCTTGGGTTAAAGGTGAAAAGACAGAGGGAATGGATGGATTCAACAGCAAAAGATCTTTGTAATTCTTCATTGATAGTTTCTAAAGCCAAAGCAAAAAATGAAAATCAATTCTAGGGCCCTCCTGGTGGTGCAGCAGGTTATAGCACAGCACTAAGAAGCTAAAGCCACTTCCACGTGAGTTCCATCCCCACCTGCCCCGGAGGAGATCCACATGATGTGGCAGACCTCTCCTGACCCGCCCGCTGCTCCCCTCAGCAGAGTACTTCATCAATCTGCCTGTTCTGCTCTCCATTCTGTCTCTTACCGCCCCTGCTCCTCTGGCCTGTACCCCAGTTCTGTATGCACAAATAAATCTTTAAAAAAAAAAATCAATTCTGGACAAGGGTGTAAAAATTGCCTTTGACAATCCCTGGACTGTTATAGCTCAACATATAGGCCTGACACTGTCTGTTTCCACAGCACTGGAACAATTTATTCAGCTGAGTACCAGCTAAATCAGTTATCTCACACCTTCAAAATACTAGAATAAGCCTCAATACAGTGAAAAAGTGACATAATGAGGACATTTGGGATCTGAGAGACAGATAATTCAGGTTCCCAAGCTCAACCTTATTCCAAACTACATATAGAAAGGTAAAAAGTGCACTATTTTCTTCTCTGCTTATTTATGAGAATTTGATAATCTATGAAGTAATTCTACAGTACTCTAAATGTCCAATGTTAATAACCAGTAAGAGGATATATCCACAACTCAGTAATTTTCATCAATGGGTCACAGTATCACTTGTAAATAGAGATAGCACAGAAAAAACAAAAAATACATTAATGAATTTACAAACCTTTTTTGCATACCCGAAGTAATTCCAGTTTCCATTTCAATATCTTCATTAGATTTATCTCGAGGAGTTGATATTCTTACTCTTTTACTCTCTACTACTTTTGTTGCTGCCTTAAGGAGTTGAAAGAGTAGAAGAAATGCAATATACCATTTAAACAAACAGCATTAAGTCTTCTAATGTTCTGACAGTCATAACCAAAATACCTGTTCACAGTTATAAAGGGGACGACACAGTTTTTTTCACCAGTAACTACATGTCACCAGTAGTTACTTCAGTACCTGTTTGGTTTATAAGCATTTCAGAGTAGTTTTTCTTTCTTAATGAATTTGACAAACACAATGCTATCTGGGATATTTTAAGATCAAAGACTACTTAAAAAATGGAAAAAAAAGAAAAAAATGAATAAAAACTCCAGGTATTTTAAAATAAAACTACATTAAAAATCAAGATGCTCCCATATTATACATTGGTGCCTCCCTCAACCTCATGCTTGGCATGCACAGACAAAAGCCTGTGAGGTGGCAGAGATTGTTGCAACTTTGGTCTTCCTACCCCTGAGGTCCACCTGCCAACCTCTGTCAGCTCCAGCCTTGCTCTATCACAAAAAGGTTACTGATCGTTAGGAAAGTCCTAGAAATGTGAGTTCCCTTGACAGGACATATAAAAATGTGGTGATGTGCTATTTAAAGATTCAAGTGGGTGAAAAATGAAGATTGTAGATGCGGGTTTGAAACATTTAACTGTGGTTCTCCAACTGCCACCAGATCTCTTGCTATTAAATAGATGAAAGGGAGGAAGCCTTAATCATGAAAAACAGGTTTTACCAAGGAACTCTGCCTTCCTCCCAAGAAACTATAGTGCTCCATGCTGGCTGAAGATGTAATCAAGACTGCCCCTGTTTATCACAAATAAGAGAAGAGGCAAAGAAGAAATGAGTCCATAGGGGAGGCTCCCAACAGGCCATGTTGTTGTCTGTCCACTCATCATACAATCACGAGTCCAGAAGACCCTGGCACATTTACAATAAAGGAGCTTCGAGACATGCATACTTCTTACTGTTCACATTGTGATTGTGATGAAAGCAAAATATAGTTTCATTGTCCTGAACCCTCTGGTTTCTTTCAACCACCTCTATCATGTGTATATTTTGAATTGTATGCCTGGCTCAAAACTGCAATCTATAAAAAAATCTGAAGTTCTGATAGCTCACAAAACACACAAATATCTAATTTTACCTGACTCTACTTTGGGGAAGAACAAATTATTGTACACAAAGAAGATCTGCATATGGATACTAGAATGACAGAATTAATACTTTTTGAGATCAAAAAAGAAAAAAAAATTAAAAAATTTTAAATATCTCCAATCCCAATTTTACTTTTTCTAAAACTGTATAAATTTTTTCTTTAAAATTTAATTAAAATGAAATAGGTCTTATTTCTTAATTTATTCTGAAATTTCCTCAACTTTTAACTACAAAATTACAAAACAAAAATTTGATTAGTTTTTACGAATTTCTATTTCAAATATCTTCTTTTATAACAATTCCTTCTAAGTTACTGTTACAGTCTCTCTGAAATTTGCATACCTTCATTAGAAAAGTTGATGATTTTTCACTCAGCACATAATTCACATAACTCTTAATTTTCTCCATCATATGGTTGTAGCTGAAATGTTGAAAAATAGAATGGAATGTGTCCTTCTGTGAGATTATCGTAAGTAATTTCCTTTGTATAGGCTAAAAAAGAGGAAATGTATAAATACATAAATCAAAAATAAAATACAATAAATTTTGTCATTATTATTTAACTGAAATTGCTTTTAAATTCAAAGACCTACAATTAAGAGGCAAAAAAATTCTTCTGTCTTAAATGGTCCATCATTATATTTTCATTTCAAAAATATAAATAAATATTTCACAATACACAAAAGGACAGAAAGTATGAGCTTTAATGTTCATTATGAAGTTAAGAAATAAAAACATTATCAGTGTAACTGAAATTCTTGCTTTCTACCATAATTTGGTTTTCAATCAAATTGAAACCCCACTCCACCTTCTCTCTCTTTTTTTTAAAGAATTATTTAAAACTGGCCCTCTCTGATGGCGCAGCGGGTTAATGCACAGCACTGGGAAGCTAAAGCCACTTCAGCATGAGTTCGATCCCCACCTGCCCCGGAGGTGATCCACATGGTGCAGCAAACCTCTCCTGACTCACCTGCTGCTCCCCTCAGCAGTGTACTTCGTCAATCTACCTGTTCTGCTCCCCACTCTGTCTCTGGTGAAGCCTCTCACTGCCTCTGCATGTCTGGCCTCTACCCCAGTTCTGTATGAATAAATAAATCTTTAAAAAAAAAAAAGATATTTAAAACTGGGGTACAGGTCAGAGGCACAGGTGTGGTGAGAGTATTCACTAGAGATAGAGTGGGGAGCAAAACAAGAGATTGACGAAGGGGAGCAGCGGGCAGGTCAGAAGAGGTGTGCCACGCCATGTGGATCACCTTCAGGGAGGGGACTGAACTTATGCTGAAGAGGCTTTAGCTTCTCAGTGCTGTGCTATATCCCACTGCACCACCAGGGAGGGCCCTCCACCTTCTCTTTTAAAGGAACCACTATGCTGAATTTAGAATCTACCATGCCCATTCATTTCTTTGTACTTGTACTATGTATGTTTATATAGTATCGTTGAGCACAGTTTTAATTTTATACAAATGATGTTTTCTATATTGCTCTAAAACTGGTTATATTTTGCTTATTCTCCCAGACTGTTGAAAACTTTACAGCTATTTCTCTTACCACAATGCTGTGAAACATTTTTCTACATGTCTTCTTGTACACAGTACAAGTTTTCCTTTAGACAATATATTTTCAATACTGGTTGAACAATCAAAACTACAGGGTTTTAAAAATAATTCTACTTCTTAGACAAATTATCTCAATGGGGCCTTAAAAAATAAAGCTTCATTGGCCCTCCCTGGTGGCGCAGCGGGTTAAAGCACTGCACTGAGAAACTAAAGCCACTTCCGCATGAGTTCGATCCCTGCCTGCCCAGGAGGTGACCACATGGCGTGGCAGACCTCTCCTGACCCGCCCGCTGCTCCCCTCAGCAGTGTACTTCATTGATCAGCCTGTTCTGGCTTCCTCTCTGTCTCTGGTGAATCCTTTCACCCTCTGCATCTCTGGCCTGTACCCCAGTTCTGTATGAATAAATAAATAAGTAAATCTTTAAAAAAAAAAATAAATAAAGCTTCATCCTCTTAAAAATGTGCACTGGAAGTAAAAATAGCTACTTCAGAGTATTTATCTAGATTTACAATTACTGGAATGCGTGCCTATAGATTTCGCTAAAATGCTCTCCAAAGTTTGCCATTTTAACATTCCTGAGTAGAGGTGTCACAATCTAATTAGTTCTTTACCTTTTAAGTCAACTGTTTTTTTTTTTTTTTTTAAGATTTATTTATTTATGGTCTGGGATACAGACCAGAGGTGTAAGGGTGGTGAGAGATTCACCAGAGACAGAATGGGGAGCAGAACAGGCAAGTCAATGAAGTACACTGCTGAAGGGAGCAGCAGGTGGGTCAGAAGAGGTCTGCCATGCCATGTAGGTCACTTCCGGGGCGGGGACTGAACTCATGCTGAAGTGGCTTTAGCTTCTTAGTGCTGTGCTTTAACCCACTGCGCCACCAGGGAGGGCCCGATTGTTGGTATTTTAAGGCACTTTAATTTTAATTGTTGCCAGTTTAATGGTCTGAAATATTATTCCAATACACCATTTGGTATTTCCCTGATTATTAACACTAGTGAAGTTTAAGCACTTTTTGTATGTTCCTTTTGTGAAAAAACTTATGAAACATGCTATTTAATAAAATCTTCACTAAAAATTACAAAACTACCTTTTCTTTCTTTGAATAACCTTAATTTACTTCAATAATACTTTTTAAAATTAAATAACTTTTTTAAAAACTAAATTCCACTGACCTTAATGTTATTCACCCTCTCCACAAAATTATAATGGTCACATAGTAAACTTCTAGAAAAATAAGCAAGTTATAATACTTTTTCCAGACCTGCATTGTCCAAATATGGTAGCCATAGGTCACACCCAGTTAATGAGTCTTTGAAATGTGTTAGACCTGAATTTAGAATATCCAAAATATACTTCAAGGGTTTAGTATAAAAAAAGGAAGTGCAAAGTACTAACACTTTAATATGATGGGTTCTGGATATATTGGATTAAATGCAATGTTATTAAAATAACCTCAATTTTTTTTTTACTTTTTAAATGTGGCTACTAGAAAATTTTAAAAGCTCATGTGACTTGTATTATATTTCTATTGGGCAACATAAAGCATTTCTTTTCTCCTCCAATGTTCTTTTAGTATTACTCACTCCATAAAACCAGTTCTAAAATTCTATTATTTTTAACTTAAGCAATTACCGTGTGGTTATTTGAGTCACCAAATATTCTTTCAAAGACATCTTCTGCTTCCTTAAAACTGCCATTTTCCATGCAAACAGCGATTGCCTAAAAAAGTAGCATAGTACATACCTTAGGTTGTTAGGTTACCACTTCATTTAAAATATTTTTATGGAGTTGAAAAGATTTGATTTGATAAACCCCATAAAATAATTTAAAAATGAAATAACTGGTTTGAAAAAATAAGAATTATTTTCCTTGGGGCCCCAGGCATATTTATAAATTAGAGCAAATGAAAGACAGGCACTAGTAAAAGTAAGTATCTACATGTATTTGGGGACAATCTAATATTAATTTGAACAAATGAAAAAATGAGAGGGAGCATTTATGATCATTAGAATATATTTAATTTGCTAGTTAGGATTTCTGAAAACTCTAACAGAAACATAAGAAGCCAAATTCTTTTAAATAGTCATTTTATAAAGTGGTCTTCTGGATATCACTGGTAGGATATTACAATCTAGATAGCTTTGTAAATTTAGCAAATTTTTGCACCTCTCTGTTAGAGCTTCTTTATATTTAAATAGTAGAAATAATAGTATCCATTTCATGGGTTTTTTGTGAAGATTAAAGAACAATATTTGGCAAATAGTGACATATTACATGTTTGCTATGTATTTTTATTGTTGCCTCCTTAACTTATATTGGTATATTAACAAAGTTCAGCTCCTTCTAGAGTCTCAAAAGCATAGCATAATGTGACAAATCTCTCTGCCCTGGGTTGAAATTTTCAGAAGCAGTTTTTGTGCTACCCATTCTTTCTTCATTCTACTTGGCAATCACACACTAATAACCAATACTTAATTCTTATACATTTTCTCTTCCACTTATGTAAAAAATTTCAACAATAAGAAAAAGTTTAGCTATTTAAGAAAATTCCAACTACAGCTTTCAAACCATATTTTTCCTATTATATCTTTGAATGATCTGATGCCTTACTTTTTAGATTAGTCCTCAAATTCTCCCTACATGGTTACAATTTTACATTCTTCTGATTACAAAATCCACTAGCTTCTTATTAATGATACATTAATCTGCTAATTAATTAATAATCAATAAGAAAATATTTCTTCATATTTATAATATTTAAATACAAACCGACAGAGCACAAACCACTAGTTTTTGAAAGTTGGTGGTGATCTCATTTTTAAATAAATGCAGCACATTTCCTGAAGTGGGCGCAATATACACATATATCCCAGTCTTTAGTGCTTATATCAGTACTATAAAACAAAGGATTATAAACATATCAGGACTATAAACCAAAATTTCTAAGGAGAACAACTAAAGGAAATTTTACTTTGGGTTTACTTTCCAAATTAGGTAGCTCTTAATTTCTTTAGATGTTATGCTTTTACAAAATACTAACTACAAACACAATCATACCTGAATTTTAATTAAATTCTGTATTTCTTCATAAAACATGTCATGGTCCTCTTCAATTGAAGCCCAAACCATTAGGGCTGATTCTAAGGGTGTAATTCGTTCATCACTTTCAAATTGTGCATCTTTTAAAAAAGAAACAAACAAACAAAAATTTAAAAGCTAAATAGAAATTTGTCAGTTTTTTTTTTTTTAAGATTTATTTATTTGTGTATACAGAACTGGGGTACAGGCCAGAGGCTCAGGGGTGGTGAGAGGCTTCACCAGAGACAGAGTGGGGAGCAGAACAGGCAGATCTACGAAGGACACTGCTGAGGGGAGTGATGGGCCGGTCAGGAGAGGTCTGCCGCGGCCATGTGGTCACCTCTGGGGCAGGCGGGGATCAAACGCATGAGGAAGTGGCTTTAGATTCTCAGTGCTGTGCTTTAACCCACTGTGCCACCAGGGAGGGCCCAAAATTTGTCAGTTTTTTAAAAAGAATTATGTATGTATACAGAATTGGGGTACAGGCCAGAGGTGCAGAGGTAGTGAAAGTATTCACCAGAGAAAGACTGGGAGAATAGGCAGATCAACAAAATACACTGCTGAGAACAGGCAGATCAACAAAATACACTGCTGAGGGGAGCAGTGGGCAAAACAGGAGAGGGTCACCTCCCTGGTTAGGGATCTAACTTACCCTGAAGCACCTACAGCCAGCTTGGTACTGCTGTGCTTTAATCTGTTGCACCAACAGGGAGAGCCGAAATTTGTCAATTTTTTATAAGTTAATTTCATTCATTAAATACTTACTGAATGCATACTGTGTACCAGACACTGCTCTTGTAACAATTCAGAACAATGATAGGACTTCGTTAAGTTCTTCATAAAAATCAACTTTAGAAGACAGAAAAAGCTGTCTGATTTACAAAACATTTCTTTATTAAAATACTGACTTCAAGAATGAAAATAAACTTAAAATTTTCATTTCTAGGTAGAATGTAAATAGTGCAGCAGGCCACATTCCCTTTATATTATGAAAAAAATCAAACAAATTGCAAAATTATGTTTTTGAATACATAGAATAGCTGCAGAAGCAATACGAGCTAGAGTCACCACAATTCCAGAGAAAAAAGTCTTTCTGAGGTGAGCTAATGATCTGCAGCTATTTTCTTTTCTGGTTTAATTTAACGAAAAGGCTGAGGATCCAGTGTGCTCCAGGTATGTAAATTTCACTGGGAGAAAAATAAATAAATAAGAAGTTTCTGATAATTTTATTGGAACTATGTTTGCTGGCTGAAAAATAGAGTAACTGAAATACATAGTTGGTCTTCCCCTACATGACATTTGCTAAGTTGGCAGGCAGCAGAGAAAAGATAGTTTGGAAAGGTAAGGAAATCACTCATCGTCTCACAGATCTTAAGAGACTTGAGTCCCCTTAGAAAAGGGAGTAGGCCATAAACACACATTTCCCCTTCAAGACATATGCTATATTTTAAAGCTATGTGGAACAGGAGACTAAAGTTAACATGATATGTTCTACGTCATATGTCATTACTTAGCAGTTAAAATGAGGCTAGCCCAACTGAGACCTACTTTTTGCATAAAATACACATTGGGTTTTGCAAAGGGCAGATATTTTGTTAACAGGTTTATATGATTTAAAGAGTAAATCACATTTTAGAAATAATGAACTAAATATGACTAAAATCAATTACCTGTTTCTTTTCACTTTTTTTTTATATAGTTACTAAAAAATTCTCAGTCACATATATATGGTTCACATACTGGGCAGCGCTGCTACAGAGCAAACACTTAAAAGTTAAGCAAAGGGATACCCCCTCACCTCCACACACATACACACTCACAGGTGATCCTTGAAAAACATGGGTGTATGAGTCCACTTTTACATGACTTTTTTTTTTTTTTAGTAAATATATTAGAAAACTTTTTGGAGATCTGCAGCAATTTGAAAGAACTTGCAGACAAAATGGGTAGCCTAGAAATATCAAAACATCAGTGGGTAATGTATACTGAGATAAAAATCTATTTTATTATTTGCTACCACAAAGTACACATAAATCTATTATCATAGTAGAAAATAATCTTAGTGCCACCCTGTAAACCCTGAATAACAAATAATATGGAACCTTTGTGAAGTGATACTAGTGATGATGGAATTGCTCCCAAGAAACAAAGTATGTATGACATTACAAGAAAAGTTAAATTATTTGATATGTGCCATAGGCAATAACTGATGAGAGTATCGTTTATGATTTTAAAAATGATATAAACTTTGATTCTTTTTTGAAGGGAAACTTTGGAGCTTGGGTGGGAGAAACTAAAATATACTGGACAACTACTATCTATGAACTTTTAAAAGTCCTGTCACACTTAATTTATAAAATAACTGTTAACATATGATGTGCATAGTCTGGAATTCTTCAATTGTGTCCATATCTATCTGTTTTAATTTATCTTCAGTAACAAGCCCAGACCTACCTATAGTTCTTTGTCTTCCACATTGAGTCTGCCTCTACTCCTACCACTTAATGATCCTAGTACCAAATCAAGACCTAACTTCCAATATAGCTCAACACAAACCATGCTATAGGAACCAGACCTAGATTAGTGAGGACCATGACAGAGGTACTTACACAGTGGGACTTTATGTATGTAATACAACATGTTTATAAGTAAGCAGTTTCATGTAGGTACAAGACTACCACTTGAAATGGCTGGAAAACCATTTTGAAAGAATAAAACCAAATTAAATATGCATTTATTTGCACTGAGATTCCTTCAAATAATCATGTTGTAAATATTATTCATTTATTGAGAAATTAAAGCAGTTTATCCATTATAATCTAAAATGAACTTTGGAAACAAGGGAGGCAGAGGTAGTTATAATTCACATCCCTTTACATAAAATATGTACTGATAGCAAGTTCAAATAAGAGGTTTAAATATAGTGATTGGTTAAAAAAAAGTGTGTATGACAGAGTTAAAACAAAGTTACTATATATTCAAATTTGGAGTGAAACTGCCAAGAGAGACTAAGAAGAATGATTGCCTAACAGTATTACTAGAATAATCTGGAAATTTATTAAAAACATAAATTTGGGCTCTCCCTCGTGGCGCAGTGGATTAAAGAACAGCACTAAGAAGCTAAAAACCACTTTAGCATGAGTTCAATCCACACCCCGGAAGTGACCCACATGGCATGGCAGACTGCTCCCCTCAGCAGTGTACCTTGTCAGTCAGCCTGTTCTGCTCCGGACTCTGTCTCGGGTGAATCCTCTCGCCATCCTTCCCTTCACCCCTGGCCCTGTAACCCAGCTCTGTATGCATAAATAAATCTTAAAAAAAAAAAAAAAAAAGCCAACGTAAATTTTAGGATACTTTACATATATCATTGAATCAAAAAATGAAAAACGCATGGTAGGTAAAGGTACTCAGCATTTTGTTTTTTAACAAACTAATAATTCTGATACAGGCTACAAAGTTTGAGAACCACTACTCTATAATAATGACACTACATTTCTTTTATTTGATTTAGATATGCTAGTATATGGATGTATATGCTAAACAAATATGGGCAAACTCTTAAAAACAAACAGCTTCCACCTGATACTTCTCGTCTTTTATTTACAGCTTGAGATATTGCTAATGTAAGATAAAAATACATATTTACCAAGTGTTTTTCCTGCTGCAATTCTTGTCAAAAACTGACATATGTAGATAGTTCTCAATTGATAAGCTGTTAAACTGGATAGTCCATGAATAATAGCTGAAAAAGAAAAAATAGATTTCAATCACGCAAAACAAAAAATTAAACTGACCCAGCAGTGCCTCTGTGTGGTTTGTTGAGTTATGATATAAAACATAAATTCAGAACACCTTTCCTCAAAATAAGACTGATTATTTTTACATGCAGAGTACTTAAAACTACTTTTAGAGGAGCACTATATATTACCAAAAGGAAATTTGGTTTAAATCAAAATGTATCAAATCACTAGCTGGAAGCTTATTTTATACCTTTAAACTCCTGCATTAAGGAAACATTTTATATTATTTGTCAAGGTTTCAGTTAAGTGAGACTATTCAGTTTACAAAGCTTTATTTTTAAAACATAGATAATACTAATGTCACAAATATCTGAATTCTGGGCAATGAGTATAAACATACAATAGTGAATAAGCCACATTCCCGGACCTCACTGAGTTTATTAACATGTTGCAATGAAAAGCAAAGGAGAAAACACAGAAAAATGTGGACAAAACTAAATATGAACATCATATAGCCATAGGATAAGGAAATGTATAGCATGTTTAAGTAGCTTGTAGGAGAGGAACTACAAGCAAGACTGAGGAAACAGTGTTTAAGACCTGACATACACTGTCAGTATTATACTTCACCTAGAGGTTGGCTGATGTGTAATAAAAGGTTAAGTTAATAACAAACCAAAAAGGGGGCCTCCCTGGTGGCCTAAGGGTAAGGTATGTCTCAGTGCTATCACCACTAAGGCCCGAGTTTGATCCTGGCTATGGAGCTGGCTCACATTGCTTGGCAGACCTCTCCTGTCTCATCCGCTGTTCCTCTTAACAATGTATTTTAGTAGACCCACCTGTTCTGCTTCCCACTCTGTGTCTAGTGATTCTTCCCACCCCTGCACCTCTGACCTACACCGTAGTTCTTCTATGCATAAATAAGTATTTTTAAAAAACCTAACAACCCAAAAAGCAGTCTTAGAATAATTAAGTAGATTATGTAGATAAAATAAATGGATTTATTTGTATGTTTCCTCAACTCTAAGATTCCATGATCTTATGCCATACCAGAGTTTATCTGATTCTATACAGTTGTACAGAATTAAAAAGGGTTTAAAGAGAGCACAATGCTCAATATGAAATTTAAACATCTACTGCTAGACATGTGAAATAAATAGTTCCTGCCTCTCAGGAAGTTTTAGCTTGAGAAAACACAAATTAAGTGAAAAGTTTTGCAAGTGACTAATCAGAACTTTAACAAATTCCATACAGGATAAGTAGTGAAAAGAAAGAACTAATCAATCATTCTAGGGAAGAATGTCAAATCACTTCTCTATTTCCCTTCATATTCAATCTAGACTATTAGTAAGTAGAGATTAACATGCCATTACCCTTCTGATTTTTGTATCTGCTTAAGAAAAAACACAAAACAAAAGCAAACAAATATTCTAACTGAATTAAGCTTCAGATTTCTCCAAACTTGTATGCAAGAACTGATGTATGCAAGAACTGATGATAGGAAAAATCCATTAGGGAGGATTTAATGGCCAGCAACAACAGCAGCAACTATATTTAAGCACTTACATACCCACTGAGCACTTTATACTAGAGTTTTCCTCTAGCGTTGATTGTGGTCATTTGGTAATGACTGGAGATACAGAGAAGGGATTGTTATTGTCACCTTAGTAGGTTGAGATCAGGGATACTGCTTTATCCCGTAATGCACAGAACCATCACACCCCAACCTCTCCACTTTAACGCATAAACACAATAAAGAATTGTGTTGCAAAATGTCAACATTCTTGAGGTTGAAAAATCTTGTTTTATACATAGCAGTTCATATCCTTCTCTTTGAGCCCTGGTAATTATATACTATTTTATCACTTTACAGATGAGGAAATCAAAGTTACAAATGGGTAAGTAAACTTGTTTCAGGTCTTAGAGCTATGAAACAGCACAGCCAGAGTCAGACTCAGTTTAGTACCCTTTTCTAAACTACTTTTCAGAGTACAGGATATATGTTAAGAATACACCTGGAAAAGGCATTATCTAAGATACACCGAAGTGTGAGAACAATTCTGAGTTGGAATAAAAGAACTAAGCATTTTCAAGAAAGCATCAAGAGTTGCATATTTTTATAGTAAAAAATGCAGTAAATATGTGGTGGAAGTCTTCTTGTTAAAAACAAGAATAACGAGAACAACACTAAGTTCACAATTTGATAGCCATTACTACTTAGCAGCTTAACTTGAAAAGATTTACTCTTTCTGGATTTCTGTGCCTTTAGCCTTAAAATATTGGAAGTGGACTATACTAGCTTTCCTTTGGAAATTTAGCAACCTGAGAGAAATCTTTTTTTTTTTTTAAAGTTCATTTTTAGGCCTTCCCTGTTGGTGCAGCAGGTTAAAGCACAACACTGCCGGTGAGCCACAGCTGCTTCAGTGTGAGTTCGATCTCTGCCCCAGAGGTGATCCACATGGCACCGTGACCTCTCCTGTCTCGCCCACTACTCCCCTCAGCAGTTCCCATTCTGTCTCTGGTGAATTCTCTCACCAACCCTGTGCCTCTGGCCTATACCCCAGTACTATATGAATAAATGAATAAATCTTTAAAAAGAAAAAGTTCACTTTTAGAAGGAGTTTAAATTTACAGATGATGAAGATGGTAGAGGTTGGATTTATCCTCCACCCAGCCCACCCGTTATTAACACTGTAAACTAGCATGTTATTTAAATTTCTCAAACATTGCTTGATAATTTTTTTTAAGATTTATTTATTTATGCATACAGAACTGGGGTACAGACCAGAAGTACAGGGGCGATGAGAGGCTTCACCAGAGACAGAGTGGGGAGCAGAACAGGCCTACTGATGATGTACACTGCTGAGGGGAGCAGCAGGTGGGTCAGGAGAGGTCTGCCGTGCCATGTGGGTCACCTCCAAGGCAGGGATCAAACTCATGCTGAAGTGGCTTTAGCTTTAACCCACAGAGCCACCAAGGAGGGAGGGCCCCACTGCTTGAAATTTTAAGGAGTAAAGGACATTTTGTAGACTGTTCCTTTACTGGGATTTATCTGACATTTTCCTCATGATTAAAGAGGAAATCATAGGTTTTGAGGACGATCACAGAGCTGAGTTCTATTTTCATCAGATCATATTAAGTGTACAGAGTACTGTAACTGTTGATACTGACCTTGGCCTTGATCACTTAAGTATAAGGTTGTATAGGCTTTCTTCACTCTGTAAAGTTATTTCCAAGTGGGTTCCCACAGAATCCACTTATAAGGTAGTTATGCTCCACCTCTCTGAGGACAGATCAAATGCATAAAATATTCTGAATTAATCTGCATGGGGGATTTATCTCCTCTCTCTTTATTTACTTGATCATTTATTTAAAGCAGTATGAACTCATGAGTACCTATTTTATATTCTGGGTTAAAATCGAATACTACTTTGGGCCCTCCAGAGTGAACCAACATGTTAAAGCACATCACTATGAAGCTATCTGCAGTAGTATGAGCTGGATCCACAGCTAGGGGGCTGACCCACATGGCAGCAGACCTCTCCTGGCCCACCAGCTGCTCCCCTCAGCAGCATATTTCAATCAATCTGCCTGTTCTGTTCCCCACTCTGTCTCTGGTGAATCCTCTCACCACCCTACCCCCACCTCTAGATTGTACCGAGTTCTTATCTGCATAAATAAATAAATCGTTAAAAAAAAACAAACAAAAAACCCCAATACTACTTTATTTAGCACGAGTTGTTCAGTTTTGGTCAATGGGAGCTCTTGCAATTAATTGGCCAGGGTCCCTTTATAACCCACTGCTGTGGGTCATCTGCCTTACTGTTCATTTTATATATTTCTACAAAGAGCTCTGGTTCCCTTTATTGGAAGCCAAGATGTGTTGTTAAGTATACTTGTTGTTACTAGGATTACACTGTTTCTATAGAGTCCAACAAAACAAAATATGTTAATATTTACCTGTGTCTACATAAACATACAAATGTATTACTGTACGTATTCACTTTATATCTATATTAACCTAAACATAAGTTCATATGTTGTTTCCAGTTGTAAGTAATTGATTTTAACCTCTGCTCCAGAGAGGACTTTTTACTAATTCTAAGATGGTGAACTGAATGCTTTTCAGCATTTAACTTTCTAATTAATATTAATTACCCAATTAATTATTAAATAGCTGTTGAACTAAAGCTAGGCTTGGGTATGGAACACCCCTTTTAACACATCAATACCAAGGCTGCTCAACTTGCTCACCCTACAAACTAAGATTTGCCTAAAGCATAGGTTTGTCACGTGATGAAATGTCAGTAGTTTCCCCGAGAACGTCCTATAAAATACTATCCTGGGGCTGTATTCAGCTGCTAGAAGTTGAGTGCCAACTCTATTAAAAGAAATACCTGAGCACTTGTTATTCAAAATTAGTCGTGCTGATCTTCTCGAAGCTAGGTCTCTGTCCATTACCGACTATCTCGCCTAGACAGTTCATCATTGACAGTCCTTTTTGATGCCTCTACTGAGCAAGTAGGCCAAATGAGGTTGAATTACCTGACAAAGAAATTGTCAACAATGATGCCTAGAGGTCACTTGGAGGCCCTATGACCGCTGACCAAACAAGAGTACCTTAGTAGAAACACCAAACACCTGAGGCAAACGAGACAAAAGGAATTGATTGGGTGGGCGCACTGGTGCACATTTTAGCTTATTTAACCAACCTTAGAAAGGTTTGCCCATCAGAAAAATCGAGAAGCAGGTTAACAGTAAGAAGTTAATTTCAATCACCACTCACTTCAGCTCCAGGCCTCGGCTCTTCCCTGGCAGCAGCCTCGACCCCCACCCCTGCTCCCACCAGGAAATCGCACAGGAAACCAACCACCGTCTCTGAAGTAGGCTCCCGACTAAGGCGCAGCTTGGACCTCGGGGGCGCCTCACACTCACCCTCCGCGCTGTCGCGGGTGCGCTCAAAGTCTTCAGTGCGGCCGTCGCGGAAGGCCCGGCAAAGACAGAGGCAGAGGAAATCGAGCATCCAGCCGGTAGCTACAGCCTCGGCTTCGGTCACCAGGCCCCCGTCCTCTTCTTCCGCGGGGGCCCCCATTTGCATCTGGCACTCCAGCAACTCCTGACACTCAAACTGTTCCTGGTCATCTCCCGCCGTTTCCCCGACCCGCTCTTCCAGGGGTTGCGCATCCTCCCCGTCAGCACACCCCCGAGGACTGCGGGTGGCCAAGGCGGCATCCTCCGCCATGTTAAAACACTCCCGCCGATGGCGCCGCTCGGGGCGCACAGCGACGATTGGCCAGAGCTGGAAATTATGGGCGTTGCCACAGTGAGGCGCTTCCGCCGGCGGAAAATCACCAATCACATCTCCAGAATGGCAAGCGACTCGAGTCTGGCTTCTGATTGGTCGAGGTCTCTTCCCGCCTCTGGCTGTTGAATTCCATGCCAATCCCAGGCTAAGGGTTTGTTCAGCTCAGACTGGGCGGTGAGAGCGCTTGAAAGGTAAGGGAGTTGTTTTAATTCATCCTAAAATGCAGCATTGGATGAAACAGCTACACGGATAGTTAAAGTGAAAAAGCAATTTTTAAAAAAGATTTATTGATTTATGCATACAGAACTGGGGTAAAGGCCAGAGTGCAGGGGCCGTGAGAGACTTCACCAGAGACTGAGTGGACAGCAGAACAGACCTGTCAACACTGCTGAGGGGCGCAGTGGGCGTCCCAGGAGAGGTCTGCCGCGCCATGTGGTCATCTCCCGGGGTGGGGATCAAAGTGGCCCTAGCTTCTTAATGCTGCCCTTCAACCCACTGTGCCACCAGGGAGGGCCTGAGAAAGAAGGCTATTTAAAAAGCAGGCTATTTAAAAAGCAAAAAGAGATAGGTGATTGGAATTTGTTGCGTTATAAAAGTGTAATATTTCAGACAGACACTTGTATTCATTCATCTGACAGAGTTGCTATAGACTCACAAACCAAAATTGTCCCGTTGAATTTATTCTATTAATTCACGCTTAACATGCATCAGAATCACCTCTGGGCATTGTTAAAACAATTTGTTATGCTTCACCCCCAGAATCTGTTCTACATCTCTGAATCAAAGGCCTTGAATTTGGAGACCTGACAAGTGTATAGGTTACAGCGAGACCAAGTTTTGAGAACCTCTGCTATACTATGATGCAAGTTCTCAGAAAAATCATACTGACTCATTTCATTATGTGGTAAACCTATATGAATTAGGCAAATCTTAGTTTATAGTATGGACTAATTAAGCAACCTAAGGTATTGATGGATAAAAAGGAGTATTTCATACTCAAGCAGTATCTTAGTTCAGCTTTCCTCTATGTCACAGTTACCCCACAAGAAAGGTGGATAATTAATATTATTTAGAAAGTTGAATTGCCAAATGGGCGATAGTTATAGCAGTTTATTCACTATGAAGTTCACTGAACATAATTTATGCACTTTTCATATTGCATCACAATTTCATTAAAAAGTTTACTTTAAAAACCTTTCTGTTTATAATACAACCAACATTATCAAAGGCTTATGTATTTTAGTGTTACACATTTATTGTTGTTTAGACTGTAATTTTAATGTTGAGGTATTAAAGACTACATTATAGTCATTAAGCACACCTATGTTGGGATGCCCTCTACCAATTACCCGCTGTCTGACCTTGGATAAATTTAGCCTCAGTTCCCCCCCCCCCCACATACTGGTCATAAATATGTCCTTGTAGATTTTGGGGGACAATTAAAGGTTTTGATAAATGTAAAGTGTTTAGAAGGAAAGCCAAGTACCCAGTAAATGCTCAACTAATGTTAGCTGGAAAGGCAAGGTATTTATGTCGTGGAGAGAGTGATGAGATGGAGGGATTTCCTCCTTCAGGTTCTAATGATTCTATAGAAAGTGATTCTGGTTGCAAACAACACAAGGAAACAGTCTGAGGGAATAGAGGTTAAGGTACATTTGAATGCAGCAAATATACTGTATTCAAATGGAAACTTTTGTCTGGCAAGGTTCTCAAATGGAGTCTGTTTCTTCCTTTTCTCCCCAATTCCCAGGAATGAGTTAGGGTTTTTTTTTTTAGGTATATCAAATAGTTTATTCAAAGTCATAAACTAAACATATTTTCTTGTGGCATCAACTTACTGAAACATTTTTTATAATGTTCATAATGGTGTATAATGAAGTGAAATGGAAAACGCATATTTTTGGTTGGGATTACATCATAATATTCAACAAAGTTTCAGTTTGGGGTTGTTTCCAGCTACACATTTTGCATTCTCTGTCATCTTGTATTTCAATGAAGAAAAATTAAATAACACTGGCATAATAAGGTGGATCAGGTAGGGAAAAAAGTTATTTTAAAGTCCTATCCCAGTAAAAAAATCAATAATACAGAATTTTACTGAGTGATGGGCCAGAAAACCATCCTGGAGACCTCTCATAAAAGAAAAAAAATTTTTTTAGACCTGTCCATCAGGGTAGATGGTAAATTTATTTTTCTGAATTAATATTTTGATGTCACTATGATCAGAAATCTCAGCTGTGGTAAGTCTAAAATAGCTGTAATAAAGCAAATAATACATAAACCTGCAATAAGTCTTTATCCATCATTTTAATATCGTAATTGATAAACCAAATACTTGGCATGTCAGTAAAACTCCTATGTGATGGGTAAACATTCCATGATGGGGGAACTTTTTTTGGCAGAAAAGTTTAACTTATCCTTCCTTTATGAGTGCTTTAAAGGAGGTGGATCCTCCTAGTTCAAGATATAGGCAGGACGGGGTGGGAAAAAAGAATCCTGCTTTGGATGATTTTAAAGTCATGCATTGGGTAAAATTAGGAAATTATATTTCTTGTAAACTAAGTGCTGCAATTACCTTCACTAGAAAGGGAGATTTGGTTTATTTCATGATGACCCCAAAACTCAACATGAAACCCAAAACTGAAGATTTAGTGAGTCAAATTCGACCTCATGCCAATTAAGCCTGCTGAATGTAAAGTTTTGCTGGTACTGATTTCTCATTTGTAGAATCACTGATACAGTAGCTTAATTGACCACTGGACAGCGATGCTGTGGAATGATTTTTCTATGATTTGAATTGTGTGCTCCCCAAATTCACATATTGAAGCTCTAATCCTCAGTGTGACTGTATTTGAGATGGTATCCACATGAGAAGAGACACAGCAAATTCACTCTCTACCCTTTTTTCCCTCCCCAGCTACTTGAGGAAGCAGTGAGAAAGAAGACTGTCTTCTGCAAGCCTCAAAGAGACCCTTTATCAGGAAGGGAATTGACTGCACTTTGATGTTGACTTCCCAGCCTCCAGAACTGTAAGGGCATATGTGTTTGTTGTTTAAGCCACCTGGCCTGTGGTATTTGTTATGCAGACCCAGCAAACTAATCCTGATTCCCATAAAGCCCAGATGACATTCCCCATGGTGCTGGAATTCTCCAGACAGTTTTGCCTTGGACTGTATTCTAAAAAACATTTTGAGACCCATATGTTTCTTGTGTGTATCATGTTGAACATTTGTCACAAACATAAGCTAATGGTCTCATAAATAATGTACATTGTTTTATCTCTACCTTTATAAATATCTTGTGGTTATGCAAATTACACAGGTAATTTTGAAACATTCCTTTATTGCAGAGTACCTATTATGTAATTCATACTTTACTAGAAAGATCATAGTAAACATGAAGATGTTATTCGTGTCCTTAATGAATCACACTTCTTTTGGGGACACATACACACATATACACACCCTATACAAAAACATCGAACTGCTAAGCTATACTTACAGTAACTTGAAAGTAGTAGGAGTTCAGTGGAGGGAGAAAGTCTAAGGCACAGAGCTGTGGTAAGAATGTTTGAGCAGAGGCCCTTAATATCCCTATAAGCAGAGGGAAGAGAAGTGAGACCTAGGTGCAAACTAATTTTTTAAAATAAGCTTATATAGCCTAACACCCTAGTTTTGCCATGCTCACAAATATTTCCCAACCTTAGGTATGCATCACATTTTCTCAGTTGATTGAGGTAAACTTTATAATCACTAAATCAGAATTTCTAGGGTCAAAGCTTGAACAATTGTGTTTTTCAAACTTTCCCTAGATGACTCCAATGCAGAGCCAGGGTTGATAGCTACTGAATTGAACAGGTAACGTGATTCTTATTTATATTCCCACTTCACTTAAGGCAGTGGACACTTTATAAAGTGATAAAGAAGCTGATAAAGAAGCACACTTCCACCCATTAAGACTTCCCTTTTCACAATCAATAAACTAATTGTAAGGACTGAAGGGAAATTTAAGCCTAAAATGAAGCAGATTTCAGGAAGGGAAATATTTTAGACAATTCTAATGTTTTAGAGCTTTTAACATACTTAGATCTATGTTGCCCCTGAGATTTTATTTAACAGAATTTCATGTATTACAGGAATACTGTGATACATCTTTTGACAGTATATGGTATCAGAGTGGGGCTGTCTTTCTTACATTTCCTGTAAGAAAATGTACTCATTTCAATCCTTGAGTACAGTTTTGGTTCTCCATGACCATTTTATTTCTTTGGTTATAAAAAATACATTACTGCTGTATGACCCTAACAAGTCCCTCACTAATCAATATTCTAAAATGCATCTGTCAAAAGTGAACACAGTAGCATTGTATGTGAGTGAAACAATATGATTGTGAACAGCTCGGTACCTGGGGGAACACTCCTGTTTCTGCCCATTTTCTCCTGGAAATAAAACAATTCTGGATAAAACAATGTGTGCTAGCAATGCTTTTTAGTTCTAGAGTAAAAACTCAGGGAAATTTATTGACCATGACAGCACTAAGAAATACATTTTATGAATAGCATCTACTTATAATAGTGCCATATGTATTACTTATTATAAACGAGCCATATCTAACATGTTAAATTTTCTAGGAACCACATTTAAAAAAGGTAAAATTAACTTTAATAGCATATCTATTTAACCCAACATATCTAAAATAGGTTTCAACATGTAATCAGTAATAATTACTAAGTTTACATTGTCTAAAATATCTTCAAAATCTTGTATATATCTTTTATCTATCTTGTATATATCATTTATACTCATCTCAGTTGGAATAGCCACAGTTCAAGTGTTCTCATAGCCAAATCTGACTAGTGGCTACTGCACGGATCATGCAGCACTATTCATTTAGGGGTTTAGTCTCTGAGTCAGAGAGATATAAATTTGAATTCTTTTCCCA